ACGGTGTCCGACGGGCGAATAACGACGTTATTGAACGTGACACAGTACTCGGAAAGGTCAGAGCGACCCGGTGAGTGGTGAAGCAGCTCAGTCTTTTCATCTTCAAACGTGGCCTTGTCGTCGTGTGCCCAATCGACCGCCATCTTCGCTGCCTTGTTGAGTACGCAGACGTTCTGCGCCGGGATTTGCTGGTCGTGCTAATATTTGTATCGTCGATAAACCCGTACGTCCAGCTGATGAAGGCACCAATGGATTTGAGACGACGTAGAAGGCGGTTGATGGTGAGCAAGAAGACTATGACCGACAGCGCGGAGCCCTGCGGAGCGCCTTCCCGAGTGCATCTGAAAGTGACTGTGCGAACACCATCAATAACGACAGTAACAAGGTGGTGGTGAAGGAACGAAGCAACCCAACGAATGAGCTGGCGGGAGAAGCCCAGCGACGCCATCTCCTGCACAACCACAGGGTGAGACACCCGGTTAAACGCGCCTTTGAGGTCATAAAGGAGTGTAGAGACCGTGTTGCCGGCATCGAGCTGTGTGCGGACACGGTGGATGTACCCGTCGACGGCTTGAAGAGTACTGTGTGCAGGGCGGCCACCGTATTGCGCTTCGTCCAGGAAACCCCGAGACTCTGCTTCGAAGGACAGGCGGTCAGCTACGAGGCGCTCCAAGGGTTTGGCAAGAATGTGCTCATAGTTCTCCACAGGCCGCTAAGCCTTGGGCGAAGTCTTGTCCTTCTTGCCGGCTTTGTGGACGGGTGTTGCGACGTTCGACTTGAATAGGGTCGGCTTAACACCGAGGGTGACCGACGCTTTGTAGATCGGACGGATCCAGTCGCGCAGGATTGGGTAGCCTCTTTGAACAAAGCCCATCTGGATACCATAACGATCGGGGGCCTTCCATGCTGCAGATGACATGATAACGGAGTCGACTTCCATATCGGTGACTGGAGTGAAGGGGCGCTCGTCTAGGATCACGATAGATTCAGCGAGGGAAAGTGGGTCTGCGTGGGAGGGTGCTTCAGATGTATCTTGGGAGGCAGGCAGCGGATCTTGCCTGTCCGCCGAAGGCGGAAGTCTACTAAGAGGCGGAGCCTCCCAGCAGACCCCCCCTCGCTTTCCCCGGTCGCCGCTGCCAGCTTGGTCTACGCCCGTGGCCGGAGTCACATCTGGTGGGGACAGAATAATGTCAGGGAGTAGCGCAGATGATGTCACGTCGACAGCCTCGGCGCCGAACCAAGCACGGCCCAGGACACGGCCACGGTCCAGGTGAGAGACTACCGGATCACCAGTTCCGGGGTCAACAATGGAGGGGAAGACAGCAGATCGCCGCTCCTTCAGACGTTTGAGCGCTCTGTACACGTCGATGCGCTCAAGCTCCTTGAGGAATACGATCCAGACCTCGAGCTTAGCCTGAGAGATCGCGCGATAGAAGACCCTACGCGCCTCAAGCCATTCGTCCCGAGCGAAAGGTATGCGGGAGCGTTGGTACCTACACCTTTTGTTGCGCAAAGCTGTGCGTAGCCGAGTGAGAAGAGGTTTCCACCAGCGCTTGGCCACGGAGCAAGGACGGTGACGAGGAGTAGAGCCCTCCAGCGCCGCCAAGAGAACCCCGCAGATAAAGTCGACAGCATCATCTAGTTCTTCGGGCGTCGTTATAATCGGGGCCTTGCGACGACCAAGCATATCACCCAAGATGCCCAAGAATGAGTCGAGATCCATCTTCGCCGCGTTAAATTTGATGGACTTGGTTAGAGTGACCTCAAAGCATAGCGAGTAGTGGATGGGGAGATGGTCACTACCGACGCAGAGCGAGGGGTCGACCGTGGCATCGACTGCCATGAAGAGCGACGGGGAGCAGAAGCCTAGATCGATAACATTACCCGCTGTGTGAGTTGGGACATCAGGAGGCGTAACCAGAAGGAGGCCGTGCGCGAGGATGAGATCGTGAAGCTCGAAGTCAGCTTCGCAGAGCGGGGTTTTGGTCTTGAGATCCCAATGTGGGTGATGGGAGTTGGAGTCGAGGACGAGCAAGATTTTAGAGTGGCGGTCGAGTCTCTGGAGTACGTAGCGGAGAAGTTTGACGCCTGCACGGGTAACGGAGTCGTTACAAAGGTTTATCAGCGTAGCTTTTACAAATCCAAACATAAAATCGACGACCAGAATATCACCGGCCTTGGATAAATCAGGGCGGGGGCAGATACTGGAGGCCGGAATGGATGACAACTTGACGTAGATCGAGACTCGGTGAGCATCGAATGCGTCGGGATAGATGAGTGCATAACTTGGGTGGTCGCGCGAATTGAGTACTTCATTGTGGTGGGGCTCCTGGACGCAGATGATGTCGAAGTCGTCGTCACTCGTTAGAATATCAAGCGGGTTTCGGGACTTCCACGAGTTGATCTGGACGAGGTTGAGCATCTACAACGAGTCGGGCAGCCGCGGCGCCGATGTAGAGGAGGGGACGGAGGACGTTGCATTGAGGTGTTCAGTGAGATGGACGGCGCGCAGACGGAGGGCTTCTGCAATTCGTTTCCTGGTAGGGCAAGAGAACGCGTCAGCGCGATGATCCCCCCCGCAGTTCAGACATTTGGGTTTGGAAGAGCAAACCGCTCCGTGCATCTTTTCACCGCAGCTCCCACATTTAGCCTCCGCGACGGAACATCTCGCCTTGATGTGTCCAAACTTGAGACAACCCCAGCACTGAGTAACACGAAGGTGCGGGAAGCCACGGACGACCGTAGGAGCGGAGCCAGCGAGCCTGAGCCGACAGAGGGATACCGCGATGTCGACCTTCTCGCGCGACTGCAGGCGCATAAAGACTGAGCCGGCCGTCTTTGGTTTCCCACCTGCAGCGGTGATGGCGGCGACCTGGGCCTCGCTAGGAGGCTTGTTGACCCACATCGGCTCGCCTACAACCGGACCAAGTTCCGGGTACCACTCGTTCAGCTCCCTAGCCAAGTCTTTAAGTTCTGGTGCTGCCACAAAAGGAATGCCATCGAGCTGGATGTGAGAGTGAATCGACGGCGGAACGATGCGCGAGCCTGGGAATAGACGAGGACCCCACGTAGACCTCGCTTTCCCGAGAGCAAGAACCGCCTCCTTGGAGTCCGGAACCAGGAATAGCCCGCCATCCTTCGAGCGCGAGGCGCAGGCGACCTTAGGAAGACCAAGCGGGGCGAGGAAGGCGTTGATCTTAGGGACCAGCTCATGGTACGGCAGTGAGAAGAGCGGAGGAGCGTCTCCATCGCATCGGAGGAGGATGCGTTCGTCGGTTGTGGTAGTGATGGGCGCAGATTTCGGCTTAGGTGTCGGCTGAGCACTCGGAGCGGGGCACGCTGCTGGTGCGTAAGACTTGGCCAGGACGTGAGCCGTCTTTACGGAATCCACAGATTTACCGAGCGACTGGATGGCCTGGTGTTGCGCCTGGAGCTGGGCCGTAAGTATCTGGATCGGCGCCGAGACGGACTTGGTCAGAAGCGCGCTGAAGGAGTCCGAAGGCGAAGGATCAGCACGTCCATACTCAAATATGGCCTAGTCCCCAATCGAACGGGATTCCTACTGAGACTGGTGCTGCCGCGATGAATTCGTTGTAGGTGCGGACCATCCGCTATCAGGCCGGCGGGAAGCTATCCAGATCCTGCCTGGTCTGTGGAGTATTTCAGGAAGAGGCAAAATCGGGAGTTTCCGGCATGCCGCGCGGATGCAAGTCTCAGCCCCTTTCAAAGTTTGTACAGACGCAACAGATTTATCAAATTCTCTCCTGATTCCTTCCGTTGCCTCCCAAGTTAACGGAACGTCTTCCGGGTCTCTTTCGCATTTCCCCGACTACTCAGTCAACCCTCCGAGATCCCTTGACTCGCAAATGTCTCACCGCGTGCACTCGGAGTGATTATGGGCCTAGGTCTAGATCCCCCTAAAATGCGAGACTTCCGCCATCCGCACGGACGGGCGATGCCTAGACCGTCAGCATAGCCCGAATCGGGTGAGACTGTAGACAGGCCGACCGTCTGGAGTATAAAAGAGCCCAATTGAGGTCAGTTAACTTCCGTTTTCCTGCATCGCATTGACTGACCGCCATCTGGCATGTCTCCCTCTACCTTCACACCTACCACCACCCCGGAGACGTACCTCGCGCTGACTCCCAGCGAAGCGACCGCCCTCCTCCGATTCCACAACCGCCCGGTCCCAGGCCGCCGCCAGTCGACGCCCCTCTTCACAGACTCCAGCGAGGACCGCTGCCCACCCCGGGATATGCGCGTGCAGCGGCCGGTGGATTACTACGAGCGACTTTCGAACATTATCCTGCGCGAAAATACCCTCCAGCGCACACTCCACCCTATCCCGCCCAACCTTTCGGATACTCCCGATGAGCGCATCCGGCACACGTTCAAACGCAAGAGCTACCCGACACAGCCGGGGCAGTTCGATGAGCAGGCTTCGGCGGGGCCGCTGTGGTAGTCGGTCAGTTATTCAATGTTTCGTTCCCAAGGCCTGTTCGCTTACGAGGCGTAGACAGCCCATGGATATACTGCGTCCAAAAAATCACCGCTTACGTCGCAATTTGTTAAAATACTTGTACTTAAGTATACTTATTCTATTCAACTTCTCCTTATGCGACCGTTGAGAACCGATTTCGTTTACATCACTGTTGACATCATCCTCACTTATTCACGCTTGCAGCATGAAACGCAGGTAAACATCGATTTCTCTAAGTATTCACCTGTATGGCGATGCACTGGTGCTTACAGGACCGAGGACTAAAGTCTACCTATTTCCTGATCTCCGGTGGACTCGGATTCGAGCCGCCGACATCGCAACACGGATGAGGACGACATGGAGACCTTCCCGCTCTATCTTTGTCCCTTCCTAGACCTGTTGAATCAGGCGCGGCAGCAAAAGAGCAAACGGCGGACTGGCTTCCCTTTCTGCTTCCGTCCTCGGATATATGTGGGTAATCAGGTGGTGGCAACCAAAAACTCTGAAACGCTGCCCTGCACGTCCTCGGGTGGATTCGAACCACCGACTCTCCCAACCCTGAGTCAACAGATTTTAAGGAGAGGGAGCGAGTCGTTTTACTCCACGAAGACTTTCCTGCTCCATCTGCGTCCATGGATATGTGTTGAATCAAGGCAGTTCCAGGAATAAATGAATGGTCTTGGGTACGATCATGTCTTCGGGTGGACTCGAATCACCGACTCTCCCGACTTATGGGCCTCTAAACCTGTAATCCGAGAGGGAGCGAGGTCATACTCCATGAAGACCTCTGTTCCATCCCTGGATGAATGCGCGATAGATTTCTGCTCGGGAGCACGGACACGCAGCTTCGGGGCTCGACAAGTTCCGTCCCGCAGCTGCGGCGGCACAACGATACGCAGGCCACGGCCTCGAGTGCACTCTGCAACGTATAAGCGAGTGCGCCAGCGGCGACAAAGCAGAAGTCCGTCTGTATATGTACAAAAAGCAAATAGGTACAGATCCAAAGAGCGAGCAGAAATCACACCAGATCCAACGAGAGAAATCAGACCAGATCGACGAGCGGCGCGTTTGTGCGCCGCGCCGCCCGCGCGGGACGCAGCTTGAACGGCGTGGGCGAGTGAGGCGTCCGGGGCGCGGCCTGCACGGCCTGGATCGCGCGCGCGCCTTTGTAGATCGTCCACGAGATCGTCCCGACTGTCCGTCATACATGTTTTCATCAGCACCCACGAAAGCGGGAGTAGATCAATCAATCACGCACGCGTGGCGATGAGGGCAAAGGGCAGCGCCATGTCGAGGCCGAGGGTGGCGCATTTGGGCGTCATGAAGCGGTCGGAGAGGCACACGGCGAGAGTGCGTGTGATGCCCGCGCCAACCGTGAGCGGTACCATGCCAACTGGCGCCGGGTTAGCGTTGCTGCTGCTGCTGCGAGACTTGGCGGAGAATGCGCACCGGAGAGAACCCAACAGAGGAGCAGGAAGTTGATAATGACGAACTGTTTGTTGAGGTGCGAGACGGGGTCATTGTCCTTCTGCGTCGTGTGCGGGATCCTATATTCGTAGATTTAACTCGTGAGTCAGGCTGCACGCGTATCCCATAATGACGTACAGCATGGACACCATGTAGAAGGTGTTGAGCGCGTAGAGGATCGCAATGAACTGAGAGTCTCCTGAGTGCGCGGATTCGTGAGGAACATAGGCAAAGAAAGCCCGGGGAATGGCTCACGCGCATCCTCCACGTCGTAGATAAAGATTGTAGTGAGGCCAGACGCGATCTGGATGAGGGAGAGCGCATATGCCAGGCCTATAGCTAATTAATTTCACGTCGTGGTAGCGCTGGCCGTGGGGAACTGACGGTATAAGAGTCCTGGCGAGCGGGACATGGGAGAGGGGACGAAGGAGGGATGTCACGACGTAACGACGGGTCACGATGGCTGTGCCGGGCTATGTTGATTGCCGGGGCCGGCGACCCACGCTCAAGACCGGTCGAAAGCCGTTTCCTGGGCGGGCAGCCGCCGCCGCGTCGGACTCGATCTGTCTCTATGGACTCAAGCTCGTGTATCCCAAGAATGAACATTTTATTGAATGGAAGTGGTGAAAGTAGATACGGGCGAAAATTCCGACTGTGTCGTGAATTAACCGGGTGGAGACCGTACTAGCCTATGGGGGAAAATGGTGAGCGAGAATTCCCCGAATAGTCAGAAGTAACGGTCTCCGAAATCGACGATCGTTCCTCACAGAGACCACTGAAATCCAGCTTTGCTCGGAGTTACTAAGAACCGGTACCGGTCCAATATGCCCGGGGCCGTGACGCGATCGCGCGTCTGCTTCTTAGAAGTAGACTCAGAGCAAGGGGCACTCAGAGCAACAGAACTCCCTCTCGTCTCTCCGAGTTTTTTGTACAGCCTGATTTATTTTCGTATTCATCGAGGGACAAGACACAGCAAGGAAGTCTTCGTGGAGTATGAAACTCGCTCCCTCTCAGTGATACTGAATTGAGTGTATGGGAAAGTCGGTGGCTCGAGCCCACCTGAGGACATGCTTGAGTCCTCTGACGTTATTTTTTCTGCTGCCGCCATGATTCGTCACCTACATGCAGGGACACAGGGGTAGGATGAAAGTCTTCGTGGAGTGCGAAACTTACTCCCTCTCGGTTTTGACTTGCCACTTCATACACTTTTTGGGAGAGTCAGTGGTTCGAGCCAACCCGAGGAAATTTGATGGCGAGTCTTGACTTTTGGTGCGCCCGGATTTACGACATATCTCCGGCAACACAAGGGAGTGGGGCTGTCGACGTCTTCGTGGAGTACGAAACTCACTTCCTCCAAATACCGCCGACGCTACAGTTCTTGGGAGAGTAGGTGGTTCGAATCCACCCGAGGACTATGGCCTGGACGTTAGTGGATGATTTTTGCTGCCGCCGCGTTGATTTAACGCACATTTATCCCAAGTCCAACAATAGAGTCAGAAAGTCTTCCTGGAGTATGAAACTCACTTCTTCTCTGTGAATTTGTTTCCCCGACCAGTGTTAGGAGAGTCGATGGCTCAAATCCACCCGAGGACACCAGTGTGATTGCATGATTTTGTTATTGCCGCCCTCGTTCAAGATATCTTTGTACCCGGAGTGAAGTATTGAGGATGAGCGTCTTCGTGGAGTATTAAACTCACTCCCCTTTTCATTGCGTCTTCACCATATATATCCAGGAACCGCGATCTGAGAACGAGGGCCCAGACCTCTGCCCGGCAAGTTCCGCAGGATTGATTGAGAAAAGGCTTCACGGTCCTCGGTCCTTCCCGAGGCTTCGCGCTTCAAGGAACTCTGACAAGCTCCACCGGCCACCTCAGAACGGAGAACGGTTGGAACTTGGAACGTGAGAGCTACGAATGTTTGAAATTGCGGATACACCGACGGATAGAAACGACAGATCGGTATCATGCCGGGAGTACATCTCGATCGGGACCTGGTCCCCATGTCAGTACCAGGAATTTTCACATCTGGTATGGAGGATAGGAAGATATGAACGTCCTCGTGGAGTACGAAACTCACTCCCTCTCGGTAAATGGCTCGCATGTAGGGTCGGGAGAGCCGGTGGTTCAAATCCACCCGAGGACATTGTCGGACGCGCTGGACATATTTTTCTCGCTGATATTTTGATTGATATATGTCTAGATGCAAGGAGAAAAGGAAAATACTTGTGTATGAACACGCTCCTTCCAGTAGCATGTGTCTCGTGATTTCGGGGGCTTGGATCCACCTGAGGACATACCGGAAATGCGCAGACTTTTGTCTTCGGCCCTATGTAGCGGTGCTGATCCACTGGATATAGAGAGAAGACTGTTCACTGGCGTTTCTTGCTGCAAGCGCGAATGAGATGCAAACCGTTCAATTTCCAGTGTGTGTGTAAAAGGAAGTTGTACATAGTAGATATATTACAAGTGGTTTTACACAACCTGCGCAGGCGCTTGTTAGCATGTCTCTCTGTCCAGCTTGTAAACGACCCGTCCTTGAAAACGAAGAGAAGTGGTGACTCACCAACTACCACAGCGGGCCCGCCGACGCCTGCTCGTCGAACTGCCCCAGCTGGGTCGGGTAACTCTTGCGCCTGAACGTGTGCCGGATGCGCTCGTCAGGCGTATCAGGAAGGCTGGGCGGAATGGGGTGGAGCGTGCGCTGAAGGGTATTTTCGCGCAGAATAATGTTTGAGAGGCGCTCGTAGTAATCCACCGGCCGCCGCAAGCGGACACCGCGGGGCGGACAGCAGTCCTCGCTGGAGTCGGTGAAGATGGGCGTCGACTGGCGGCGGTCCGGGACCGGGCTATTGTGGAAGCGGAGGAGGGCGGTCGCTTCGCTGGGTGTCAGCGCGAGGTATGTCTCCGGGGTGGTGGTAGGGGTGATGGTAGAGGGAGGCATGCTAGCTGGAGCTCAGTCAATGCGACGCAGGAAACGGAAACCAACTTACCTCGATATTTATTTGGTGACTTGTGGTAATTCGGTTTGGTGGGGCGATGGGATAATCTTGGTGTAGAAGCGAGGGCCCTTTTATACTCGAGAGGGGCGGGTGAGTCGGGCTATGCTGGCGGTCCAGGCCTCGCCCATCCGCGCGGATGGCGGAAGCCCCGCATGTCTCGCGGGATTAGGGGGATCCAGGCCGAGGCCTACAGCGCAACGGTGAGACATCCACCTCGAGGGCTGAGAAAAATCCGTGGGGGAAAATAGCGAAACACACCCAGATCGTGAAGTTGACTTGGGGGAGACACTAGGAGATGGTTGCATCGATAAATTCCGCCGCCTTGTGAATTTTGAAAGGATTGTGAGACTTTAGACTTCCGCGCCGGATTGCTGGGAACCCAGGTCTCAAATTGCAGCATCGCCCTTGAAATGGGCCCAGCATCATCAGAAGACAGGAAGAGACGAGATTGGGATCCTGGAGTCCCCGGCCCAAGAGGAGCGCAAAAGACTAGTCCGACTGTTCAAGTCCGAGGAGAAATTTTGCAAAGCTGAGTTGGATCGAGAGCACCGCCACATCTGCCAGTGGTCTACGCGACAACAAAAATGGGGGGGCACAATGGCGAACCGAGCCACCTTCAGGCCGGGGGTGAAGGGAGAAAATGCTGTAGGAATGACGGCGGAACTCACGGGGTGTCAATCTCTAAACTGTGGTCGCACGAAGCAGTCTTGTTAAGGCGCTTCCATTATTCCACATCGCAGGAAATAATTCTGTCGAAATTATTCAGTACCTACGTTGCCGCCATGCGCTCCGTATCATACTCCTGCGCCTGCCCTCAAATGAATCAGCCGGGTCATAAGAAGGAGACGAAAACAATGCACAGGCACGTATTTCTTTTGGCGGTCGATGCTTCACGTCCCGGGGATGTATGCTGAAGTCTGGGAGTCCGGTCAGTGAAGATGGATCAAGGGAGGGTCTGATTACTCACTGCGCAGCAGAACTAGAAGACATGGTTCAGAAATTGGCGCCGAGAGGGAATTACAAACATAGAGGATGGAACATCGCTCCGGCGCCATGCCGTCGGCGTGCACGGGCCCGGGCGGAACACGCACGCGCTGGAGTTTGCTCCGGATGGTATCGTTTGACCCTGATTTAATTAAGCTCTAT